CTGCCTCCCCCCGCCGCTCCCCTCTGGGCACCAAGCCCATCCCCTTCTTCCTCTTTCTAACCACACTGGGAAGGAGCCCAGGCCTCTGCACTCAGCTGCAGAGCCTGTGTTTTTTACTTATTTTAAATTTTCAGACGGGGTCTCACGGATTTGCCAAGATGCATGCCCAGGCTGGGCTCGAACTTTCTGTTCTCCTGCCTCAGCCTCCCAGAGTGCTGGGATTGCAAATAACTGTGCCCTTTGTATTGATAAACGAATCTTAGTTCCACTGTGTTTGAAAATAACATTTCCACTGCACTGAACACAACTATGGGTCAAATACACCTTACCCAAAATGCCTAGGGCCAGGAGTGTTTCCAGTCTTGGAGCAGTGCAGATTTGGGGTTTTAGAACTTTATAGCATTTCGGATTTTGGATTCTCATGTGGGTTCTCAGCTTGTACTATTTCTTTAAATTAGGTGATGAAGCCAGGATAAATTCACAACGAAGGCAGTTTTTTCACACTTGAACTTAGCCAAAAGGCTGAGAAGTGATGAAGGCAGTTTTTAAAAAAGATATATACATTTTAAAACAATATATTGAAATACTAGCGATTTCTCTATTAGGGAAATTAGACAGTTTTCTTTTTTTTTTTTTCCTTTTTTGAGGTACAGGGGAGATTGAACCCAGGACCTTCAGACTGAGATATACTCCCAGCCCGTTTTTATTTCTTGAGTTGGGCTCTTGCTAAGTCACTAATTTGCTCAGGCTGGTCTCAGGTTTGTGATCCTCCTGCCTCAGCCTCCCAAGAGTGCTGGATAACACATACATGCCACTACACCCAGCTTTCTTTTCTTCCTTTCTGCAATGAATATCTTAATCCAGTTATTTAAAAGGTTGATCTAAAGAGGATGACTACAAAAACTTCAACTCACAATAAGCAAATGTGCTCCAAGAATCATGGCACGAGGGCAGCGTGCCCTGCTTTGTTTTGAGTGGCGCCCGGCGGAAATGCCTGGTGGGCTGGGCACAGGAGGAAGTGGCTCTCACCAGTGGGCACAGGACACGGCTTAGAAGGAGGAGGTGGCCGGGGCCAGGGCCCCACTCCAACGCAGGCCGCGCCAGCTCGTGGGCCGTTCCTTTGTTCACCACCCAGGTGGCTGGGCGAGGTGCAGGGCCTGGGGACCCAGCCGGGGGCAGCAAGGGGAAAGCACAGGCAGTGTCCCCAGGCACAAACCCAGGGAAGGCAGACGCCACAGGCACTTAACACACGGCTGGAGGCCGGATGCCTCCATGCAGGGCACCGAGAGCCACAGTGTGCAGACGCTGGGCTGTGGGCCGCGGAGACGGAACCTCGGTCTATCCAGCCAGCCAGGTCCCCACAGGGCTCTGCCAGGGCCCGGTCCCCTGTGCAGTGCCCGGAAAGCTGGACCCAGCCAGTGAGGGAGAAGGCAGTGTCCCCATTATGAGCTGAAGGCCTGAGCCCAACCCCCAAAGAGCAGAACAAAAATGCAGGGAAGAACAGAAAAGGAAACAAAAACTTTGGGTAAATAGAGAAAGAGACCGCGGCTCTGACACCTCGCTGTACAAGAGCTGTACTAGACTGCTTAGGTGATGTTTATAGCCCCAGTGTGGGATAAATCCATAATTGGTACTTATAAGATTACAGGCCCAAAACTTATTGACAACCGTGTGACATACGTGACCAGCTTTCTGTTTCCCTACACTTAATTACTGCTTTACCTTTTCAGCTATTGCTTATTTTCGAAGTGTCAACTACTTGCTTGTTTTGTTTTGTTTTAAGACAGGGCCTATGTATTTCAGGCTGCCCTTGAACTCACTGTGTAGCTAGGCTGGGCTTGAACTCCTGACCCTCCTGCCTCAGCCTCCCAAGGGCTGGGATCGAAGGTGTGCACCACGCCTGGTACTCTAAGTTCCTGAGTGGTCTCTAAATTCCCTGGCTCTCTCAATGGCGGAACTCCTTTCTTTGCCGTTGAAGTACACCCACTAACCTCTCGTTTTCTCCCTTCTTCCACACCACTCTTCCCGGGGCCTGAGTGTGGCAGGGTCTGGACCCCCAGTGTCCTCTCCGCTCCCTATACATGGTGGGCACTGTCTACGTCCTCTGGCTGGACAGCATGGTGGACTCTGACCCTGGGCACAGCTCCATCTGAGCCTCTCCTGCTGCTGCAGGTCTGTGCCTGCCAGAGCTGCAAGGACGCGGGGCCTGGACCTCGGCACACTAGCAGTCAGCGGCCGCAGAGGATGCGCGCTACAGCCAGTGGCAGCGGGCCTGGCAGTGACTATGCCCAGCAGTTCCGCTCACCTTGGAGGCTCGAGGCCTCTTTCCTGAGTGTCTTTACCAGGTGTGATCAGTGAGCGCTGCCACCAAGCACCATCCAATGGGAAGGCAGCTCGTGAAAACACGACGCCACAACCTCATCCACCTTGGTCACCGGATCTGGCACCGTGTGACCCCCGGCTCTTCCCAAAGTCAAAATGACCGTGACAGGGACATGTTGTGAATCCACTCAGGACATCGAGGCAGCCAGGACAGCGCAGCTAAAGACACTCGGGAAAGAGGGCTCCAGAGCCACTGCAGGAAAGTGGCAGGACGTGGGAGGAGGGTGTTTCAAGCAAGGGGAGGGTCCTGAGGGCTCGTCGTCGCCCTCAGATAGGCACCACCCACCACACTCCTGGTCACACCTCGTCTACCCGCTTCACACGAGGCTCAGGATGAGTCCTCCCCGAACACAACTCAGCAGGCACCGGGCTGCGCACCGGGCTCCTCGCGTGGGCGCAGCACGTGAGGGGGTGATGTCACGGCCTCCTCATGGCGTCACCTGGGGCCTCTGCTTCTCCCTGAAGGGTCTTCATCCCGGTGACAGGCTCCCGGGGCCCGGCTGGCCGCCGTCTCACTTACACACGCCCCCCTCCTGGCAGTCAGCTCTGGGGTCCGTGGCGTCCCCGACTCGGGCCTCTGTGCTCTGTCCGCACCGCCCTTGCCTCTGCTCCTTGGCAGCGCCCTCAGCGGGAACTGCGGTGCCCATCGTCCACCGGAGACGCCACGCGCTCACGGCCCGGTCGTGCTCGGTGCTGGCTGAGGCTTCCTCTGAGCGAGGTGCTGCCCCTGGTGTCTCCCGCATGCTCCCACCTGTGTGGCCGGGCAGTCAGAGGGCGGGGTCACTCTTCGGGGCGCCTCCGTGTCCCCTCAGGCTGGACCCGTCCCCTGGGGGTGTAGGCAGCAGGTTGCAGGGCTGAGGACCTCAGTCAGTGCCCTGCCTGGGAAGTGGAGCCCGTGCGTGCCGAGCGACGGAGGCCCAGAGTTGGCCACGCGGGCCGTGTCACCGAGGGGCAGCTGCGCGGGCTGCCGGCTCCTGCTTCTCTGTTGCTGTGGTCACCGCGGCTTCAGACACTTCCTGTCCTCCTGTCTCTGGCAGGGCAGTGAATTCCAGCAATGCCAAGCCCACTATGCCCATTTGTGCCCTGCGACATGACAGGGCCCCCTGAGAGACAGGGAAGCTCCAGGACAAGCGTCTGCTCTCCCGTACAGCTGGTTAACAACTTCACCCAAAGCCAGGCGCAGTGGTGCACACCTGTCATCCCGGCATTCAGGAGGCTGAGGCAGGAGGATTGCCTTGAGTCTGAGGCCAGCCTGGGCTGCACAGTGGGTTCAAGGCCAGGCTCTAGCGTCCTGGAGCTCTGCATGGTAGGCCTGTCTTCAAAGAGCATGAGGCAATCCTCACCTGCCTGAACTCACACACCTTCTAAGTTCACTTAAGGAAGAAATATGTAAGAGAAATCCAAGTCGAAGAGCTGGTTTGGTTTGGAAGCTGGCCAACCCCAGCCGGACACTGAGCCACACAATCGAGCTTTCCTAGGCCAGGTGAGCCTCTCAGACATGGTCCTCTGGAAGGCAGTGTCAGGCATGGTGTGATCAAGGCTGAGACGTGACCCAGGGAATGGCGACCTCTGCTGTAGAACCCACAGCCCTGGCCTAGCCCAAGGCGGACGTGCTTGTGCCAGGTGCACTGCCTGGATCTGGGACTGTCCTGGGGCTGGCCCATGGGGCACATGCGGTCCTCACCGGTCCACTTCCTCTGCTTCTGCCTGGTGCTGCCCCCGATCCTGCAGCCATCGGGAAGGATGGGGGTCAGCAGGGGCTCTGGTGGGGCTGGGCTGGTAAAAGCTGGACCCCAGCAAGTGCATGGAGGAGGCTGTGTCCAGTCGCACAAGGCCACTGCCCACCACCTTTGGCCACTGGCACTGCTCAGCCAGAGCGGAAGGTTTTTATTTCTTGATTCAAAACTACCCACCAGCCAGGTGTGGTGGTGCACGCCTGTATTCCCAGCACTAGGGAGCCTGAGGCAGGAGGATCTCTGCAAGTTTGAGGCAATCCTGGGCTACACAGTGAGTTCAAGGCCAGCTTGGACTACATAGTGAGAGCTTATCTCAAAAAAACGAACAAAACAAAACAAAAGGCCAGAAACTGCAAACCAGAAGGAGCCGTTCTGATGGTGGGTAAAGTCCCACAGCTGGTCCCCATCCCCTCGAGAGGGCTGCACCTCACAAACACAAAACGGCCACCGGCCATCTCTGTCTCTGCAACAGACAGGAGGCTGGCGTTGTACACGCGATCACAGGTCACTGCACGGCCACATGATTCTCCCCGGTTATGTGGCACACCCCACATGCGCCCTCAGAGAATGTCAGAAAGTCCCCGGGGCCCAGCACAGCCCACGACCGCTCGCCTCCCCGAGCCGCCTCTGAGGGCACCAGCCTGGGCAGTGGGACGGCGGCCCTGGCACCTGCCTGTGCCCTGTGCCCTCGAGCCTGGCCCCAGAGGCCGCAAAGAGCTGGGGACAGGAAGAGCGAGGTCAGTGGGCTCGTGGCAGCCGGGCAGCACCGCCCCTGCCTTACCGTTGAGCAGCTGCAGCCCCGGGAAGGAGCCGGCACACACCTTGCAGGCCCATAGGCCACGCTCGGCCTCTGCGGGGGCGCTGGGTTCTGGGGCGGCTGCGGCTGCAAGAGAGCAGAGGGGCCTGGTGACCACGGGGCACTGTGCCATCCCACAACTGGCACCATCATCCTGTGAGCACGGGCAGCAAGCAGGGACGGGAACCTGGGCCGCTGGCTCCGTGTGCTGCATAGGGCCTCCGGGGCCTGGGACGGGGGCTCAGGAAGGGGACCCAGGGAAAGTCACGGGGAGCAGCCAGCCAAGACAGGGGCCAAGAGCCCAACAGGCAGCAAGGACGCAGGATCAGTGACCGTGTCAAGGGCTTCACCACTGTGGCGGCTGGGGAAACTTGGTGGCTCTGGATGCACCCCAGGGGTGGTGGGGCACACTTCCGGCTGCGATGGTGGTTTGGGGGTGACCTTGGGGCTGTGTCCGGCCCCTCCTCCTGGCCCTGGCCCCCTGCTCTGCTTCTAGCCAAGGTGAGCTCAGCAGCCCTGCTCCGCCATGATGCTCGCGCCTTGGAGCTGCCGACCAGGAACTGAATCTCCAGAAACCCCGAGCCCACGAAGCCCCTCCTCCTCTCAGGCACAGACTGTCCCAGCAGCAGAAATACTAACACAGTTACCTCTCCAGTGAACACCTGCTCGCCCTTCATCCCTCAGTGGAGAGTGAAAACCACAAAAGGTAATTCTAACATCTCCCAGCTGGCTATTTCCCTCCCCGCCTGAAACATGGGCTCGGGTTGGGCTCGGTGCAGGGTGACCGTGTCACCAGGGGTCCTTCCACTCCCCGGGCCACTGAGGCACCACGGTCACCCTGGGTCCTCCTGCACCAGGGCCAGCCCGCTGGACAATGGCCATCTAAAGCCACCCTTCTACATGGCTGCCAAGCAGAGGCCAGCGGGCTGGCAGACAGCACACAGGACACGGGACTGGGCGAGGTGCTGCAAGCTCTGCCTGACCTCGGCTTGAGCCCTGAGAGTCAGGAGGGCTCTGTCACCACCCTGGCCACCAGCTGACAAGGGTGAGTCCCTGTGCCTGCGGGTCCCAGCCCCCAGCTCCCCGCCTCTGGGAGTCCCGTCCAGTGAGTCTGGCCTCAGAAGTGGCCCTGAGCTGGGCGGGGGCGGTGCTGGAGCAGGGGATGAAAAGCAGCTGGTCTCTCTGGTCCTTTCTGGCCCCTATGTGAACAGGAAGTGCCAGCCAAGAGCTCGAACCCATCTCCTGCCCAGCCCGCAAGGAGCGCAGGTGATGACCGGAGAAGACAGGCAGAGGCTGCAGTGATGCAGCCACGCATGGGGCAGGGATGGCCAGGGTGACCAGCAGCCATCACGGCCAGAGGGGCTGGGACAGAACCGCTGGACCTCAGGAGGAAGCGGCCCTGCCGATGATGTGCTCTGGACCTGGGCTGTGGAGCGGTCCGGGCCATCCGCGCGGCTGAGCTTTGTCAGGGTGGCCCCAGGACACTTGCACAGCCCATCACAGCTCCTAAATGCACTGCTGCACCCACTACCCTTAGTGGACACACAGCAGCGTCCCCAGAATCTACAGACCTATCAGATACAGGCAGAGCAGGACCTCACAAGGCACCACGCCTCCCTGCAGGAGGACAGCGGTGTCCACAGTCAGGCCGCAAACTGTCCACAGCAATGGGAAGCCGAGTCTGCTCCCTGGCAGGAGCGCACCAAACTCCTGCCTTACCGTCAAAGCGTCAAACAACAGCCCTTTCCAGCTGTGGATGCTGGGGGGAGGAATTCGGACTGTAAGACCCCGGTGTGGGCGGAGACAGACGAGGGGTCTCCCACCCCGGTTCCCACGGCAACCGCTCAGCCAACCAGAAGCCGCGGCTGGGCCTGAACACTGGCAAGTCCTGAGTGGCTACACACAGGCAAGCGCGCAGGCGCGCACATCTGCACACCCAGGCCGACCCCGCGGCAGGACCCACCGTGGCCGCTGGCGCAGGCCTGCCTCAGCGTGGGCTTGTCCATCTTCTTGGCGTAGAAGGCCGCGTACCACACGCGCAGCTCGGTGCCGGCCGGGATGTCGCGCGAGGTGGTGAAGTACACGTCACTG